GTATCTGGCTGTGCACTAAAGTTTCCTCCACTTTGTCGGATTGTGGGGCGCAGTGTATTGTACAACTGCACAGCCCCGCGTCTCTGTGGTCCAGGTGCCACATCGAGGGCAGAGGAGCAAAGCTGTAGCTGTTCAGGAACCAGCTGGGTTTTCCTGTAAGCATCTTTTCTCTGTAGAAGGCTGCCTGTGAGCTAGGACGTGTCACCTTCACCTTCCCTGAAGAAGGAAGAGGCATCTCCTACTGCAGATTCAAAGCACTCCTGGTTTCCTACGATGTCATAATCTCCATCTCAACTTGCCAGGCCACAAATAGTCAATGAATAGCAGAGAAGTTTCGCAAAAGATCTTTTTTGTTTCATGTATCTTAACATTTTTTAAAAATCCGTTATTATAATTGTGGCTTTTATGATGCTTTTATTCATCATAACTTACAGGTTTGAATGGCATATAAAAGGTACTAATTTTAATGATATGCATATCTTATTTTCTTTCAGCGAGCATTAAATAGAAAAAAAATGAATGCAACTGAATTCAGCAATAAGGAAAACTCTGAATCAAGCACCGAGCAGGATAAAGAAAATTCCTTTGTCAAAACTGAACCAAGAAGAGTTAAAATATTTGACGGAGGGCAAGTATTGTGCTTTGTATATTTGATATCATTGGGAAGATATTTTTTCGTTGATTCTAGACTTTGCAAAGATGTTGCTTCCTGCTTGATTTATTTTAAACAACAGTTTCCATACTGTGGTCTGTGAATGTTGGTTTACGTTTCCAAGAAAAATGGAAAGTCATCAGAAACATGGAGCCATGAGAGTTTTTTTTCCAAAGGCCAAACATTAATCAGCAGTAAGGCAGCTAGATACAGCCATAGATGTAAATTATTTTCCTACATTTCTCTTACGTGATAAATAATGCCTATTCTACAATAAAGTCATATAACTGTAGCCAGAGAGGATGCAGTCCAGGGGCTAAGCAGCAGTCTGCCATACAGTCTCTGCCTGGCAGTTTGCTGTGGTACACACAGCCTGGAGAACTCCTGATTTGAAAAGTGCCATGGAAATATTTACTGAGAGTCCTCGTCCGTGCACTGCAATACTGTAAATTGGTTGCCTGGTATGAGTAACAGTTGCTTCAGCCACCGTGTTGTGCCATGAACAACATCTTACAAAACAGATTTTTTTAGTATGAAAGTGCCAGTGACACTTCTAAAAATTTTGAGAACAAATGGTGCATATTTTACTATTCCAGTAATTGGCTGTGGGCTCTAGGACTTTCCATTTATTGGTTCTCGGTTTGAGTCCAGTCTAGGCCAGCCGTTAAGCCATTACCAGCTGCCCAGGTAAAACGCTGCTACGTGTCTCTGCTGGGATCCAAACGCTGCGGGGACAGGGCCACAAAAGCCAAGCACAGCCTTTGGCGTCCTTGAGCAGAGACACGAAGGGCGTAATTGAATCTGAATGACTTTTTCCATCTAGAGACAGCCCCAGTCAGCCGAGTCCAGAGCACACTGATAGGGAATTTTAAAGGCTTGCCCATTGTCGTAACTAATGTTGTTCCTTTTCTGCATCCAACGCAGAGCCTCCAAGATGCTCTTTTAGAGCTTCCTCATGGTGCCCAAACCTGCTTCCAAGAACTGACACTTTTAAAAAGTATGTTCCTGTGTTGCGAAGAGGAAATTTGAAATCTCTAAATGCTTAGTATCGAACGGTACCTTTATTAAAAAAGATAAGGCCATTATTCCTAAACAAGTCCGTGATTACCTAGTGAAAAATCTAGACATGAGTTTAACAAATAAATGCAGAAGTTGAGCAGAAAAAGAGCATGATTGGTTTTGTCAGTCATTCATTTTCACCTATTATGTTATTTTTAAAATACTGGAATTAGGGTTCCTAACTAGAATCATTTTCCCGTTACAACTAATTGCCTTACTCTTATGGTACCGTTACTAGGTACAAGTCAAATGAGGACTATGTGTATGTTCGGGGGAGAGGGAGAGGGAAGTATATCTGTGAAGAATGTGGAATACGTTGCAAGAAGCCCAGCATGCTGAAGAAGCATATTCGCACACATACAGATGTCCGTCCTTACCACTGCAACTACTGCAACTTTTCCTTCAAAACAAAAGGTAGGGGTACTTCCCTGGGTACATTTCTCACCTTTTTTCTTTCTGCTCTAAAGTATAATTCTTTTCTTCTCACATGTGGCTGTTCATAAGCTAATGAACTTGCCTCTCTCTGGAGTGGTATTGTCTAATGCTTTGAATATTTGTAGTTTCTGATTTCCTTCTTTTCCTTTGTGTTCTGTGTGTTTATTCAAATAATCACATCTTTATATGAATGAACTGGGTGGCATACCACGGTAGGTGAGAAGTTGGCCTGGGAGAGGGAAGTCAGAACACGGGGAACACAGAATTTCAAGTCCCTAGTTGTGATCTTTTGGAGGTGTGACATTGACATACATTGTACTCCTATTGGCACTCAACTAATTGCTCCAGGAAAGAAAGGGACCTTATTAAATTGCTATATTAAAATGGTTTTTATACCCTTGAAGGACAGGAATCACTTTCCATTTGACCTTTTAAGACCCAAAGATGGATGCCTACATTTAAAGCCTGTTGACAGCAGATACTTAAATGCATTCTAGTTTAAGCAGGCAATATATTAAACAGTGGTAGATCCAGGACGCAAAAGAAGTGAAACAGACTGGAGAAGTTCACAACCAAAATACTGTCAGCGAAAAAATTCTAAGCAGTAAAATCTTTCTTGGCTTTGAACATCATTTTGCAATGATCCCCCCCAGCGGTAAACTCAGAAACATTTGTGGTTTTAGTGGGTTCGGGACTACTCAGCAGTTTTGTGGAAAACTTCCAGGAAATAACCTAGTGCTGCGGAAAATAGGATGGATAGTCTTGACGTGTCAAAACCTGTCGCAGCATCCTGACACACTAGGTCATCATGTTGCCCGTAAGAAGAAATGCCGGAGTGTGAACCCAATGAATTCTGATGCTGGTTTTTACAGAGTACGCGTGCTGGGCAAGTTCAAGTAATTGAGTTCTGCCCGGTGGAAGTTCTCCCTGGTTTCAGTTATGGCAGATATTTGTATTCGCTTCCTCTTCTGCAGCTGCTATGCCCGGCTGTTGCCATCACTGCTGGCAGTCAGTCACACAGTTGGGTGCTTGATGTTTGCTGAACCACTCTTCATGGCAGGACAGCATAGCGAGTAACTTCGTGCAGTATGTAAAGTTGGGAAATTTGCTCTTTGCAAGTCAATATAGTCATGTGGCTTTGTAAAAATTATTTCAAAATTTGGGGTGAGTTCCTAGCTTCGTTTTGAATAAAGTACTCCATAAAGTACTCCATAACCATAGAAGAGTCACCATTTCCCCCACTGTAGTTTCTCCCATTGAAATATCTCAAAGCAAGTTTCTGAGAGACAACAGGAGGTTTAAGTATAAAGTAAGCAGTTACTTGTAATAAGATACATTTCATAGATACCATAATTTACAGAATATGTTTGTGCTCTGATTTTGAATAAAATTAATCTGTTTGTTTAGGTTGACAGTCAGAATGATTACACTAAAAGTAGAATCCATCAAATACTGAAAGAGCTGCAAGATATGAACTTCGCTTTCACGTGATAGGTTTCTGTCAACATGACTTTGGAGACTGAATCAGCCTTTTTTATACTTCACCATAAACAAAAGAGGGATCTTCTACACCAATGCAAAAATACGTAATCATCTAGAATTTCCATCCTATTCTGTCTTACCTCAATAAAGAACTTCATTAAATGTAGCCAGGGAGCTGGTAGCATTCAGGATGGTGAATGTGCCACAGCCCTTGACAGCTTGCATTGAGGGGCAAGGTTTTACTAAGTGTGAAATCAAATTATACAGATGGTTATAAATGTAGCTGAATAAGACATAGACGTGTTGAGTGTATATTTGTATAGATTTGTATAGTCACAGAGCAGTTAATTTTTTTCTTTTTTTCTTAAGGAAATTTAACAAAACATATGAAGTCAAAGGCACATAGCAAGAAATGCATGGACTTGGGAGTCTCAGTAGGCTTAATAGATGACCAGGACGGAGAAGAAGAATTTGGTAAGAAATTAAAATCATCTTTCTTTACTGCACTTTTGTATTCATTTTGTCATCCCACTTTCTTATGCTTTCTTTTCCAAAGCTTTTAAATTATTCTACAGGGAAACGATACAGAAATAAAAATCTTAGAAGCTAGTCCAATCGAGTAAGAAATACTGGAAAAACCTTCACTAAAAGAAAAGATAAGCATATGTTAAAGACAAATCGCTGCTGAATTCTTCACAAAGTGTTACGCAGTTTAACTTTACCGATTTCACAGATAAATATGACAAGACTGAAAATACCAGAAAAACAGCTATTTGCCATAAAAAAAAGATAGTCAAATGTCGTGTTTCTTTGAGAATAGTTGTGTGTGAAATTGTCAAAAGTTTTGAGATTCACATTTCATAAAGTTTGTGTCACTAACATGCCACCCAAATCACAAATATGTTGCTGAGTGCTTTGTGAGGAGGCTAATCAAGCGGCTAATCATCTTCCAGTGTAGAGTTCTGTCCTCCTTCACAAATAATTGGGCATAAATCAGCAGATAGAGATCTGAAATTACGAACATTATTCATCTTGACCTGCTCTGCTTCTCCATTAGTGATGAGAGTGTTATCAAAATGAATGTATTTGCTAACAATTGGAATTCTGCACTTCCCACATCCCGAGACGGCTCGGCTGAAGAGAAGAGGTCGAGGACAGTCAAAGAGGGCCATACTGGGTTTGTGTGGGTTTGCTCAGCTTGATGAGAAAGATGTAACTGCACCAGACACAGTGAGACAGAGGACAGGATTGCGCAGTAGGACTGTTCCGGATCTCGATGTGTCTCAGTGCAGTGGTAGCGTTTTCTCCTTGCTCCCATTTCTCAGCAGGGAGATGAGTCCTGTTGCCTCGCCTTGTTGTATTCTTCTTCTTTCAGTGGAATAGTTTATTAGATTGCGGATGGGGTTCTGAGAAAAGAAAGCAGTGGGGATCTTTATTTAAACAGTAAAGGGCAAGAAAGATGAATGCACCTGCTCCCATATGACAACCGCTAGCAGAATAAGCGAATCAGCTTGAATCTAATTCTAAATAATGCTGGGAATATGACTCAGCTGGTATGATTCAGTAGTGCGCTAGGTGCGAAGAAACCTGCATTTTGCCTTTTTTGGCATTCTGAGATACATTTCTTTTTGGTAACCTAAAAACATGTCCCCCTTTGCAATGGAGGTACCAAACAAGTAACACAGAAGATAAGCAGCAGCACAGATTACCGTCCCTTTCTCACAGAGGAACAGTTTTCATCAACACTCTCAGCCTTCACATGACAGAAAAATCATCACTACTTTTTTAAGCAATGATCTGTAGCTTTTGACATTTAGTTTTATAAATGACAGCTGAACGGGTATTTCCATTTACTAGGAACTGAAAACATTTTATTGATTGATAAATCGATATTCACAGTTGCATACATTAAAAACTGCATTTGTGGTCATATTATAAAGGGAAATGTTTCAATTGCTAACAGAATTATCAGTAACACCCAGTAGAAGAAAGTCATTTCAAACATTTGTTGAAAGATAGCTTTTCTTTGGCTCTAAGACTATTTAACAGAGAGAGAGAGAGAGAGTCTCTTTCTACATATCATCTACAGGTGTATGTAACCATAGTATATTATATATTCCCTGAAATACGTCCTTTGTTTCAGCACAGTAATTATTTAACAAAATAAATACTCTATTCTGGAAAAAAAGCAAGACAAACATTCAAACAGCAGGATTTGCCACGTAATCCATGAAATTGTTGCAGAAATTTAATTCTAAGACTGCATTGGTTTTTTTGTGTGGTTGCCTCACACACACACACACACACCCTCCCCCCAAATAGAGCAGCTAACACTTCTTTATTGAAGTAAGAACCCCAAAACAAAAAAAACAACTTGGTGATAAAATCCTTGTCTTCTCTAAATGATCTGGCTCAGGTACCCTTCGCAAAGCCAGCTGTGCATCACAAAGCTCAGCACAGAAGTCCCATCCAAGAAGCAGGGTAATTAAGCTGGTGATAAACACGAGTTTGCTGCAGCTGAACCAGTCCAGCCTCTCGGGTGACTCCAGAACACAGGGCATTTAAAATTATCCATGTAAACTCCATTAGTAACTGTACACTTTAAAAATGCGATTTCTTCTCTCGGCTCACCTAGCCACACTTGAAGGTATTTCTCATGATAATTCAGAAACTTGCTTGTTGGTGCATTTTTAAGGCAAAGAGTCAGGAGGGGAAAAAAAAGTATGAAGTATTTGCATATGTGCTTTTTCAAATGTAGGCTGTTCTATTGCCCTCTCTAAAATCCTGTACATGCTAATTTTTTGGCGATATTTGAATGTGATTGAATATATTTCTTTTTGTGAGGTGTCTAGGCAGTCTCCGTTACCAAAGTGGCTTCGACCAGCTCTTGGCTGCCCTTTCCCAGGGCGGTGCAGCAGAGCTCGCGCTGGGGGCAGCACCCCTTGTGCCGGGTCTGGGCTCTGGGGACAGCCAACACGTCACCCACAAAGGACGGCCTGATGGGCCTGGGGTGTTGAGCTGCGCTCGAGGTGTTACGTCTTTGACCCTTTTGTCCCTCCTCCGTCTGGTGTGCAGTGGTGGTGGATTTACGTTGCGTATCCTTGTGGTGCTTTAAAAAAAGTCGTCTTCAAACGTGTGCGTTTTTTACTTCAGGAGTTGCGTGGTTGTTAAAAATGACCTCTCTCATGGAGCCAGTGGTCTGCCCAGTCCCGTCTCTTTCCTCAGTTGGAAGGCAAGCTGAGCTGCTGTAGAGGCAGGGGGGGGAAAACTGGATAAGAAATAATTATGGCCTGAGAAAAAAATTTCTTTGTCCGTAGGCCATGCGAGATTGGCCTGGTTCCTGACCCATAGAATGTCTATCTGTCTCTGACTAATTTGTTATCTGAACATTTGGAATACTGATTACTCTTACAGAAATAAAAACATCTACACCTTCGCTTAAAATGACTAAGCTGTATGTCTTCCATCGGAATTTGAATCAGAGAATTAGCCAGAAATTTAAGAAACCCACCAACTTTTTCTTTACTAAGGAATTTGCTGCTTCTATTTTTTTGTATTATTTTAGAGCGTAGACAATCACAATTACACGACTATATCATTTATTTTTAAAATTCATAGGACAAGTCAGCTTTGACCTAATAGCAGTACAGATTAATAGTACACGCAGATGGAATAAGGACTGCAAAATTGTGCACAATCCTGAATGCAGGCACACGCGCGTGCACAGGCATGCACACACAGCGCCTGTTTTTTCAGTAATCTGAGAAGCTGAAATTTTGTTGTGCTGTAGCATCTAGGGAAAAAAGAAAGAGATGCTCTCTGGCTGACTGAGACTGTATGGGATCAGAGCTTTTAACAGCATTCTTTGTATTGGGACATGTCATCATTTGGGTATTAGTAAATACTTTCTGGCCTGGCTTTTTGTATTCAAAACCATTCCCTCATCCATTTATCTTTCATCTTCTGCACTGTGGAATGTTCTTGTCACCAAAATACAGGGTTACAATGTAAGGAATGTTAATATCTGACTTAAATTGTCAGGCGAGGTGAACTGTTTAGTGTGACAGACTGCAACTGGGGATATCCTCTTTAGCCAAGTTAACCCAACATTTTGCTATGCAGTCTTAAAAACAATGATAATATGTCTTCAAATTAAAACAGTTATCAGCTTAAACCTGTAATATTTCATATGTAATCTAATGTATGAATGGAATGGTACGCCTGAGTCAACTTGCACAAGATAGTTATTTAATAATGAAATCAGCAGATGGGCAGAACTTATTTAAATGGTCTCTGCGGAGAAATTTTATCCCAAAATAATCATTACGTTACCAGCGAAAAGACCTAATTGTAAGTTTCAGATATGTATTTTTATATATAACTGTGCACACACAGATATATAGAAAACCACTTTCATTTTCTGCAGTATTATAAAAACTCTTCTACAGATACAATCCTTCTAAGTTAATTAACTATATATTACTTATAGCAGATATTAAGTGAGTTTCCATGTCTCTTCATTAGCTTAATCATGACTCAGTCTGTGTTTTCACTGCACCTATATTTAAGGAGTAAAAATAAATGCAAATCCTTGCAATAATATCCTCCTTTTGCAAATGAAGTGGAAGGCTGGTTCTGTATAACTTATGTGAAATACATTTTCTTTTTTTTCATATTTTTTTTTTAGTATCAGTGTCTGATCTTCAACCAGATGCATATTCAGCATGCTGGAGCCCTACACCTACAGCCTGGGAATGGAGTAGCTAATGCTAGGGTTCATTTACAATGCCCAGGTTATCCAGGAAGGCTTAGGTGTACATAATCTCTTTACAGAAACAGATGTTACGCTTCCTTTTTTGGTTAGTTTTATTTTGTTACTTTCCATACTCTTAGGAATGACATTCAAAAGCCCACAGGTTTTTTTTCTCGTTTCTGAGGAGCACTGGCTATTACCAGTCTGAATTTAACCCAGTAGATGTCACTGTGAGTCCTGTTTGATGGTGATGAACAGTGGACAGTAGCTGAAGCAAGAATGAAATCAGTCAAGTAAAGCCCATGGACAGACTTAGAAAGACAAGGAGGCAGCAAGTTTGGGTATGGATGCTGGCATTGTTTCACAGTACTATGTTTACCCTTACTTTCTGAAATTTGTTCCAAGACTAATACAACAGGTAAAAGGCAAGTCGAAGCTTGTAGTTGTTGAGAAAAATACAGAGTGCATTGATGACTTGATTACTTTCAAGTTTATGATAATATGGTGACATATTGAAAAATTCTTCCACCTCTGTTGCTGTAGTATATAGCTTTTTCTGCAGTTTGGTGGAAGAATATATAATATAGAACACACACTTTATTATTAAATGCTTTTGTGTAGATACTAATCCATAACTGAAGATAATTCCACAGTTTGAGGTGAGAAACGCTGCTTTGAATTACTCAGGTGGTAAAAGCCAATAAATTTAGTAAGTTCAAATTTAGGTGGGAATAGTGAGCATACCAACAGATACTTAG